GGACAGTATTTCTCTTCATATGAAAGCAACTGGTGAAAAATACAGCCCTGTTAAGCAAGTACATTGGGAAAGATACCAAGATTTCATCTCACTGTGTTACTTCCTTCTGTAAATAATACGGTGAATGAGTACTAGAAAGACCAATCTGTGGAAGCAGAAATACAATTATTTGCCTACCTTAATTAGTTGCAGAGCAGTAAAATGCCACTGACACCGTATCTGTATTATCTTACACTTAACATCAATCATGAAACGTAAGTTTTGTATCAAATGCATGGGGAATTTGAATAGTGACTATACAAATCTGTTACAGCATGAAGAGTAAATTACAATGATTCAGTGTTCCCTGCAGACCTACTCTAATTATCAGTGGTACCAAGAATATAATTTACCACATTAAGAATGTTCACAGCCTTCACAATTCCAATACACTGGATTTTAGCTCTAGCTGTCCAAAATCCATCTGAATCTGATCACAACCTGTGCAGATTTTTTTTCCCCTTACTGCAACTGGATAGTACTAGTTTTCATGTTCTAAATACTGACTTTTAAACAGAAATAAAACTTAACAATTTGTCATGGGATCACAATTTATCTTCACATCAGAAATATCCAAAGAAATTACACGGAGCAACTGTCAATGCAAGTTCATCTTGATATTCAAATGTCTCTTGAATACCCCAAGTTTGTTGCACCTACCTCAGACAACTGAGTACAGTAGCAGATACCTCCTTTACAAGGCCAGAGAAAGAAAACCAAAGAAAAGGCTCCTGCTCTGTAAGCAAAAGGTTTTGGGTGAAAGTAGCTTAAAATGATCAACCTTGCCAGCCTAGCAGTAGCTAGCTGAAATGAAACATGCTCATATTTGACTGTTTCACAAACATACAAATACAGCAAGTCCCAGATAATACTTGGACACCAGATACATATCTGACAGCAGCTCCATGTCCTTCCAAGTTTTATATCCATCTTCTATTATCCTACCCAGCCACATAAGTAACTCTCCCAAAACTAGGGAAATAATAAGGTTATGGTATCACTCTTACAAAATACTGCACTAAGAAAACAAAATAGCTTAGTGTCTTTTATGATGTCTTCAGAAAGCATCAAAAGCAATCATAAAAGGCAAATCCTGACTCAAGTAGAACAACTGTTTTATGTAATGGTATGTTGCTTATGCATCAGATCAGACAAGCATACAGTATGCTGAGTGACAGCAAAGTGCCAAGTGAGCACTGGCCAACCTTCTTGCACCATTTTGCTAAGCTCCTTCCTCAGGGCTGATCACCATCTCAACAGTATGGCAAAAGTGTCCTGCTCCTCAGTCCCCTCCACGTGATGTTTGTCTCACCCTCACAGAGTACATCCCTTCTGCTGCCTATGCCACAAGAGAATGTAATCACCACCAAGTCAACTTAAAACGCCCAGAGTAGGAACTTCCCAAATTAGCATTTTGAGATAAGCTCAGCCCAAGCTTGCCTGCCTGCATACCTTGAATAACCAGCCTTCTTGTGAGACTGCCACACATCTAGTGGGGCATGTGGAAAGCTTTCTAAGGTCACGGGCTTGTAACGCTCTCTGCTGCTGTGACAGGACTCTTAGTCCTCCCACAACTGGTTTGACCAGTCCTCCTCCTCCTCTGCTTTACAGCTCCATTAGTTTGACACTCCAACACACCTTCCCCGCCCCGGCCTCTATTCTAAAGCTAAGGAGACAGCTGTTTCCCCACAATTCAGTAATACAAATCAAAGCAAGTGGAAACGCATCAATCAAACCTGGTGATGTGAGCAGCGGAGAACGAGGAACAGGCATACAGCTCAGCCAAGCTCCCTTCACAGCAATAACGGGCCCACGGGACCCGTTTGCACAAGCAAAGAAAACACCTCTCTGCACATACACATCAGAAGACAGGCAAGCTGTATCTGCTAAATCACTGATAGCACAACTGACTGGAATCAAAAGCTGGGAGCAGAGAGCCCGCTGATATGAATGGACAACACACCAACTTTTTAAGGCAGAAACGTCTCACAGGTACATAAGGGAAAGAAAAGCCTCAGGAAATAGTATTTTTCATTCATTTTCTTTGTTATACAATAGAAACATCCTCTATTAACCGCTAATCAAACGATAAAAATAAGAACAAACGTGACAATCATTTATTTAAATTCTTTAGCAAAGTATCTGATACAACATAAGTAGTGGTTATCCAGGGAGAACATCAAAAACCTTGATACGTGGTCCTGTAATACACCTAAAATAAAGAAAAAAATTTTTCTTCTAGCGACCTTCAGTAGCAGTCATCCTGTTTGTCTGTTCTGCCCTGGCCTCGGGGGCTGTTCATACAGATGAAGTTACAAATATAGAAAAAATCTCACAGAATCATTGCATACAAAAAGGTAAAACTCACAGAAGAATAAAATATACAAGCTACTGGAATTTATCTCAGTATTTCCATTTACATTCTGTTGTCCACAAATAATCTATCTCAAGGTTTAAAATTACTTAAAAATTAAGTCAAATAATGTTTAATACTTAGCTCTTTTAACAGCACAAACTTGCTCGGCAAACTACCGGTATGTAGGACAAAGGTCTTAACTTGTTCTACTAAATCAATCCGTGAAGCGGACAAGTCAAGTAACTCTTTCTTACATAAGATTCAGTCTCTCTCTTGCAAGCTGAGTATGTACTATGCTACATCATGTTAGCTGGATTTCTGGAATAAAAAACTACACCATTGCTATGATAATTATGGTAATTAGGTACTTGTTTATAATTTAATTTTTACAGTGAAAACAGAATCTCCAGAAGAGCCATTGATACCATGGTTGAACACTAATTTGACTGTTTATTAATCCAAGATTTACTAAACTACATAACTGTATACAAAAGTATGTGATGAGACATTAATATAGTTCCTGGAACCATATTAATTCCATAGCAATTACCTGCAGAAATAAAAAGTCAATTAACCGCTAGAAGATACATGCCACTAATTTTAGAAGCTTCTCCAATTCAAATTCTGATTTTAGTACAACTATACATTCTGATAAATTAGGTTATGAGAATTAAATTTCTGTTAGACATGACATCAAATGCACAGATGTCAGAACACAGGCAATGAATATCTTCTACAGGTACAAGTCTAGAAGCAAGATCACAAACAAAAAAATATTTCAAGCAATACCTACACTGAACCACCATACTAACTTCTCTATTCAGCTTCACTGGAATAACACTTTGTCTGAAAATTTAAGAACTGTATTTTTCTGTATTAGCAGACAGCTAAGAGCTATCATTTTAACATCAAAATTTAAGGCCTCCCTCCCTCTCTCTTCTTCTCCCTCTTTCTGCCCATTACCCACTATAAAGTGAAAGAAAATGCTGCAATAAAGATGGAAGACTGAGGGAGGCGAAAAAAGGGAGTAAGAAGGTTGTTCCTTTCCATACGTGCTTTAACAGTGAATTCTCACTTCAGAGTCCATTCACTGGCATGAAGTAAAGCAGTTTCTCCATCACTCAATCCTCCCCTTTCCTCCACTGAAAAGTACACACACTCTTACTTTTTAAGGAAGCTGTTGACACTCTCACCCCTTGGCTGTCCATCCGGTTATCCACTACACCAGCTGAAAATCTTCCTCTCCATTCCAGCACTGCTAATTCCCAGCCACTAGAAGGTAATTCATGATGAAAGCAATTCCCTGTATGCTTCCTACTCTCTGCACAGATCTAATTAGGAACTGCTATAGCCTGCTATTCCGTTATTACAGGCATGCATTGAGAATCTGGTACATTTTAATTCAATATTATGCCACTTCAAACTGCCTGTCTTTTCAATCTTCTTATGGAGCACAAACATGATTCTTTTAAATCCCTGACTACGAATGACTTTCCTAAGCAGATGCACTATTCATACTAGTATTTGATTTCATAAAATAGATCACCCAAGCTATCAACACTTACATTGTAAATAGTTGAGAAGGAGGAAATAACTTTGTTTCACCCAATTTCAAAATAGATGCAAGATGACAGCTAAAGAAACATATTAAATGACAACTACAGGAAGCATTTTCTGAGGTGTGGCTGCCTAGAAGAATCCACTAACAACAAGGTGAAAAAAGAAAGCGTGTGCCTTGTCACCTAGTAACAATCACAATTGGATTCTTTCACAATAAACAGATTAAAGAATGACAGAAGTGTGTGCCTGGGGTGGTTCTGTAAGCAAACAGACTGGCGGTCAAGGTCCCGTGAAATAAAAATCACTGCTGTAAGGAAAATAACAAAAAAAATATTTAAGCTACAAAGCTTCAACATACTGTAGAGAAAGGGGCAAAAAATGGAAGGAGGGACTAACGCTTCTTAGGTGTGTGCATATATAGAAACTTGTTCAAACCAGGGTGGATTTTGAAAGAAAGGGAAAAGCACTGAGATGAGTGACAGAGGCACAAAACCTTCTGAAAAGAGAGTAGTAACAAGAAATGAACACAGTAAATGCAGTTCACTGGACACCAGACATATTCAACCATGCATTACAAAACAGAATGGCCAGTAGCAGTCAATTATGTCAGTTCCTTTCAACAACAGAGTGTTTTGCATCATCTTTGGGCAGATTTTTTTCGCTCACAGCTGTGCTCCTAAGACAGACCTTGTAGCAGAGTCACTGATGAAGCAGGAATCATCTACTCTCCAAACAAGCATACATGCAATCTACAAAATAGTGAAAACACACTTCTCCCACCATCAGCTAGAGACCATGCATGCTCTTCACCTCTGGATATGTCAAAAGCATCCAGACAGGTTTTCTAGGATAAGAAACAAGCTCATTTTTAAATAGATGTAAAATGTAAATTTACAAAGCCATCCTCATACCCCTTCCATTTCACATGCGTCACAGCAGAATACTCAAATTTCCTTTAAGTAACAGACTGAGGTCTCAAAATGACCCAAATCTGCAATACAGATATGATGCATTTCAGAGTAGGTGGGGAACAAGGAAAGGAGTGATGAAGCGCTCCATGGCTCATGGGCAGACGATCCCAACAGTCATCAGGGTCCTAAGTACCATGACCAGGCCAGGTAAGCAGCTAAGCGAGAGAAAAATCTGGTGACACCAACACGAGCAGGCCAAGTTCCCAGAAGTCCACTCTTACACAGATGCCACCTCAGCACTCACATAGTCACATCGCAACTATTGTCTGTGCTATAAACTTGCTAAGGGAACACTGCATAGCTCTAAACAAAGTCCACACGTTTACAGGAAAGAACCTACCGAGAAAACAAGCCCCTTGAAATTGCTTCAGAGCAATTCTCTTTACATTGTAATTTGAAATCCTTACTTCCTGGTACTTTCTCAAATTGCAATGGAGCAGTAACTCACAAAATTGCTGCTGCTACTCTTTATTTTACTTTTCAGGATGGCACCTTCTCAAGATAGGCTTCACTGGAAATTCATCATAAAAATCTAAGCAAACACTCTCAAGCAGTAGCCTCTTCAAATGCTCTGTAATACTCGCTAACCTTCCATGTTCATTCTGGTTTCTGAACTCATGGAAAGCTAAAGGAAATTAAACTTCATTTATTTCCTTTAATATACAACTCAGGTTTTGTGTGCACCTTGTCTTGTCAGTTACCGGGAGAAGGGATAATGCACGTCCTTTGGCCAGCTTCTTAGGAAGCTAGCTACAAAAGGGGTTTACCCTTAGCTTCCTCAGCCTGCCCAGCACAAGAAAATCACTACTCCTTTTGCCTAGTACTGGGCCAGAAGACTTGGGCAGCACTACATAACTCAAATAACCAGCTGTCTTCTCTTAAGTGCTGTGTTAACTGTTCTCTGTGCTAGATTCCAACTTCTTCCACAAACATCTCTGCTCCTCTGTGTCCTCCCCTCCAATTCAACCAAAAAAATGCTCATTTAATCCAAGGGTTTCGACAGATATTGTTGCTAGCAGATCCCAATGTTGTGGGAGCAAGTGAGGAAAGAATAGCTTCATTTTGATAGTGGAGGTGCCAGATGCAGACACTTACGAATCATTCCAGTTTTAGCAAACATGAATTTAGGAAAGTGGACATAGAGCTTGCCTACATATTTAGAAAGTTATGGTTTTTATCTCTGTATAACTCAGGTGCTAGATGAACAGAAAATTCTATACCCCGGTTAAACCAGTTAGAAATGTACTGCTTTCACGATGACTGTGCTGTGCATTCACCTGCAATTCTCTGGACAGCAAACTGAGCACCGAAGCACCAGAAACTCCAGCTGGTCTAAACAGATACCAGAAACTGTTCCGTCTATTTTCATCACTCTAGCTTTCTAACAGTTCTCCAAACATCAAGAGCTCTGTTCATTGATAAGCATTTTATCTAAGGGTAGAAATATTATCAATTTACTTGTGCAACCCTTCAAAGTTGATCCAATAACAAAAGTAACAACAAAAGACATATACACATGAAAAGGCTACTGAAAAAATCCACACTAACAGGTAAATCTAGAACTGGGGGGGCAGGGAGACAGACTTCTTTAGAAAATGAAAAGCAGTAACCTCACAGAATTATAGCTGCCGAAGAAAACACTAATGTTTTTTCTGAATCACCCAATGGTAAATTAAAATGCAGTCACGTAAACTTGCAAGAGGAAATCACACGCATTTTAAAGCTGTTTGGAAGATTCACACTCACATCTCAAGTCCCATTGTTATCCACTTCCCCATTCCTCCAGCCCTCCAACTACCCACTACAGCTCTCAGCAACACGCCCAGCCGACACACTGCTCTCCTGGGCTCAGCCACAACCCAGACTTCCACCACACGTCTTTACACTGTTCCGTGCCTTGACCTGAACAGCACAGAGCACTAGAAACTCCACTCCTTTAGCTAAGGCCAAATTTGGAGATGAGCTGGACCTTCAGCTCTTTTTGCTAGGATGGAATCTAACATTTACTTTGCAAACAACTGAGGACTGACTTAATTCAGTAATACTGAGCAATATGTTTCAAAACGTGCCTTTTCTTCCTGACATGATTTTCAAAAACTCATATAAAGAAAGGTCAGCAATGTCTTATATCTATCCTGAGATAGCAGGTTGGCACTCATCCCTTGGAAATTGTGATTCAACAGTAATTGTGATTTTAAGAAGGAGTAATATGACTTTATAGAGTACATGCAAATGCATAATCAATACCTATTCCACCATTTAAACAACTCTGCCTCCTATTCACTCATGTTAAACACATGCAATATTAAATTCCAATACACAGATTGATTTTTACAAGCAGTTCATTACACTCAAGCAGAATCCCAACTTGAAAGCTTGAAAGCACCTCTCCATGTAAGCAGCTACTAAAGCTCATGAAGCAATGACAAATACTTCACTTTAACAAAACCACATTTATGATTTCTACTTCAAGAAGGCGTTGGCTCCTTACTGATCACTGCAGCATAGACTAAAGGCTCTGGTAAAGAGATTTTTTTATAATGCTTTACATTTCAGCTCATGCACCTATGAAATGGAAGTGACATATGACTGAAGTTTGAACAGTCAAAAGGCTTTTCTCCATGAAGCTCTGATGTTCATCGGAAAACCCCAGCAAACACAAAAACTGCCCATCAGCACCCTTTGAACAGTTCAGTTACAGACCCACTTCCCTCTTGCAGATTCCCAGGCAACAATCCAAAAGACAGACTCCAAGTGACTTAGCCATCTTCAACTGCAAATTCAAGTGTTAACACGTAATGCAATATAATCCAGTGCAACACTGGAGATGGACTTTATTTCAAATAGTTAATTAGAATTTATTGACTGAAGAATATTAAAGAGAATGATAATGATTTTTAGAATTTTCTTGACAAGTCTTACACATATGAAGCAACCAGCAACCAAAGTAACACTTAAATAAGCTATATGCAAAAAAGCTTCATAATTGCCATAGCATTTATTAGGGAGACCGTAATTTATTTGTCTGAACAGTTTGTTCCACAAAGGACTATTCCTCTCCTTTAAATATCATGCTACAAAATATTCTATTAGAAACATAATCTTAGATGAATCACAATAGAATAATAAGTACTTTCCATTATCTTTAAACAGATTATCCTAAGACAGAGACATTAAAGTAACCATTAACAACCAGACAGCTGTTAGAATCACAGGAACTGCCACTTCGTTTCAACTCTTGGGTAAGAGGCAAGGCTGTAGCAGTAGGACTGCGTAAGTGCTATCATGTGTACAATGACACTCCAACAAGACTGCTAAAGAAATAATTGATTTTGGGGTATGACAATGTTGTTTTCTTCTCACGGTTGTGTTGTTCATTTTAAAACACAAGATACATCTCTCCAACAACCTTTCACATCCTTACTAGACAACAGTCATTATCTGAGCAAACTAAAATGCTTTTCCAAGTTAGTGCCAACCTGTCATTGCATCAGAACTCTTGCTAAAAATTTTACATGGCCATAAGGCTGGAATAAAATAGAAGAAAAATCTTACACTGCCAGCTCACTGGCAGTGAGCTCTAATGTAATCCTAATAACACCCTCACCTAAACCAATCTGAACAGACTGAACACATCTTTCTACTTCACTTGTTTGGTGCAGGTTTTTTGTTTCTTTTTCTAAAGCAAAATAGCCTCAACTACTGTCTACTGCTCATCACAATGACAGCAAAACAAACTTTGCTGTTGCTTCCAATGAATACCCAACTTATCTGTATTTTGCAGAATACCTTTCATAAGAACTCCATCACAAATGGCTTTCCCAGACTAAGCATTACACCACCAGGTAAAATTGCCAAAGAGTGAAACTCCAATCCTAGAGATAATTCTGTTTTCAACTGAAGTTTATAAAGAAATGGGGATTCAGCTGAAGAAGTCCTGTTCTACATGACAAGATACAAAAAGTAGCTCTACTGTATACCCGCTGCGTAGAGGGACAAACCAAAGATTTCAACTAAATCAAAAGGGATAGAAAGGTCCACAAAGCCAGATATTTTACATAATTTAGTGTGAGATGTATAAACATGAAGCCTGAAGGCCTGACTGAAATGCATTTGGCTACATCTCCACATCAGAGCAGCAAGTCATCCAACTCTGGAAGTGATGAAACATAGTAAAAGGAGATGAATTGGACTGAAAAACAAGCATCATGACACCTAAGAAAAAGTCACAAAAAGAACATCTTCAGAAGAGATGATCACCACTGCCTGCATTCCATATAAAACAGATAGAAAGTGACCATGAGGTCTCATACACTGATGGTCTTCCTGTACTTACAGATCGCACATTTAGGAAACAAACAAACAAACAAAACCCCCGAGTTCCATCCACGCTAGCTCTCCCAATATTAATGCACTTTTGCCCAAGACTAAATACAAGCTACTGCTCTAATTTAGAGAAAATATTATTGGGATATCACCTAGTGTTGCTGAGAAGGAAGATGCAATGTAACGTGGTCCCAGCCACACAAAAAAGCTAGACGACTGCAATACAGACAGGACAACTGTGACTCACAGTACAAGTGGTAAAGCTGGCTGTGTACTCGGACACCGAGTCCTCCAGCCCAGGCATAACTTGACACAGCTCCCTGATTCAGCTCACACAAAGACTTGCTTTGATGCACTTGCTTGAACGGAGGGGAGTGGAACAGCGCGCACACACAGTGTGTACTCTCAGCATTTCCTTGCTTTTATCAGTTTAATACTTAATCTCAATTATTTTTTTCTTTTTTAATCTAACTTTATATAAACATAGATTGCACAGGCCCCTGGCAGTGCCAAGGTGCAAAGCTCAGCATTCCTATAAATTCTTTTAACATGAGTCAAGTACTTCAGAAGACAAGGTTTACTCCAACTTTATCTTTGCCTTTCTTTGCTTATGTCACAAGTTAGATAGTCATGCAATATTATATTAATTCCTCCAAGGCATCACTAAGTTTTCTACTGATCTCATGCAAGTGGTTAATATTACGGTCACATTAACTCCACATAAGGAGTCAAGTAACAGCACAACTCCAAAATAAAGTTCACCAGTTAAGGTTTAACAAGCAGGACTGGATTTGTTCCCATCACAAGTCATGGGGTACATCTTGAAAGTGTTATTTTTTGTCATACTAGTCCCAAGGTTGGAAGCTCATGTCTCAGGGGAAAACACTATACTAGCAACAGCATCCTTTTACTGTGAACTTCAAAGGAGACTTGGATATTTAAGGGTTTATGCACAGACTTGTAATCTTCTGTTAGTACACTGTCTTCAGAACAATTCTTACTCTTCACATAAAGAAAAACAGTCTCTCCTTCAGCAACCGATGCAATGCCAGCGACAGCACTACTCAACTCCGCCTCCAAGGCTACTACCAGCCAGTTAGTCACTACCACCACTCTGTCTGCGTGCATGTTCTGACACCGATAATATCACCCGTGCAAAGAAGAATATTTTAAGGAAGGGAAAGAAATCAAGTTTATGATCATGTTCACAACCTGGACAAAGCATACATTCTATGACAGGTCTTCTCCACCTATAACTGAGTCGTAACTCTCGTTCACACCATAAAAGTTAGAGCACTGGCAGACCTTCTTACAAAATTGTAGTGTCATGGTAATGGTAAGATATGGGTCTTAGCATATTTGGCATTGAAGATGCCAGCATATATGCTATCAATGGCTGTTTTCAAATGTTGTTTCTAGAACACACAACAGAGTTGTAAAATTTCAACCATGTCATTACCGTCTGCATGACCACTGCATACTGAAAAAACACCATTCATGAGGATGGTAAGGTTCTATTGTTTTCAAACCTGGTTTTCCCACAGAATTTCTCCAGTATCCCTGCAAACAAACAACCAAAAAACTTCAATCTTTTAAGGATCCAAATGAACCAACTGTAAGCTCTACAGAAGACTGACTTCCACCAATTAAAAGGTAGTATAATACACAACATTATTACATTTAATAAAAAAAACCACCCAGCATTCCATGTACTTCTTGAAATTAGGGTCATGATTTTCTCCTCTCTTCTGACACCAATTTGTTTCTGATGAACTTTTTTTTTTCCCCCACCCTCAGTCTGAGGCAGCAGGGTCTTGGTCTACAACTTGAAGATAAAAATTGTCCATAAGGCTTTGCAATATTGTTTCTGGCAACAGGAAAATAAGTTCAGAACAAGCCAACCCAGAACTAACTACAGGATATTGCCTACTGGAGCCCACATGCTAACAAAAGATGCAAACTACTGATTCAAGACATTTCTCCGGCCTAATAACACTACTAAATCCAGAAAAGCATTTCCTTTTTTCCATAGCTCTTCAAAAAGCCAGCTTCAGGAAATTCAGCGTTAGCCTTGGCTAGTGATAAGCAACATAGCTGCTAATTACGACCAAAGAAACCACTCTCTGCATTTGGTTCTTCAGTCCTTTTCTCAACACTTTGAAATAGTGAACCTCACGCTACCAACAAACACCTGCCAACAACCCCAAATCAAGTCCTTTAAAACAACAGAAAAAACTGTTTCAAAGCCATGTCAAGAATGGATGATTACAGAATTCCAGAAAAAGAAGAGAAGAACTCAAAGGCAATACAGACCAAGTTTACTTTTCTTTTTTTTTCCCCCATGAAACAGACATTTCAAATTGTCAGTCTCTTGAAACATCTTCAGACTTTGTTTCTCATAATTCTAGAGCTTAAACACCTCCTCCTGAAGTCAACAGCAATATAAGCATTCATAGCAGCCAATTATTACATTTCTTTGTCCATATAAAAATACAGCTGTGTCTCACGCTGTTTCAACAATTTCCTTCTACAACAAAACACACTGGGATGCTGGTCACATGTTTTTTCAGTGTATTCTACTTTCAAGGTTTAAACTTCTGAAAAGCAGCTTTACAAGAAGATAAAGCAGACCAACAGTAAAGCCAGACTACCGTATTTCTAATCTTATGCACAGATTTCACAGATCCCTCCTGGTCTGCACAAGGTCTCCCTGGAAGTACATCCATATCAGACCCACCTGCGCAGACAGTTTTCCAGGACAGGAGCCCTAATCCACAAGCCTACCTCACAACCATCTCGCTGCAGTGGCAGTAAAGCTTCCCGCTTTCAAACCCAGAAGGGCAAGCAGCTTTCGCAAATACAAGGACACGTACCCTATCGCAACGCTGCAGCCGGCTCTGAAAAATAACCTTCCTACCGGTGTAACAGTTGCTCAGGTCTATCACCGACTTATTTCTAACCGTACAGCGAAACCAACACACAACCAGCGAGACAGACGACCTAATTCATAACGCGGAGAAGCAAGCTGTCAAGAAACAAAGAGCGCACGGGCCAGCACAGGAGCTGGAGGCACCTGCTCGGGAGGTCCCGGCCCTATGACAGGACTTCACCCCCCCAGAGCTCCGGCCGCTTCGCCCCTCTCCTCCCCGACG